GACCGCACCACACGTGACAGCGACACACGTGATCGCCCAGGGCCACGTGACGCGGGCCGGCAGCGCGGCGGAGCGGAACGGGAGCGGTGAGTCCGGAGGGACGGGACGGGACGGGACGGGAGCGGTGAATCCCGAGGGACGGGACGGGATGCGATGGGAGCGGTGAATCCCGAGGGACAGGATGATGGACGGGACCCCGGGCGAATCCACGCTCCCGGCCCCGCTCACCGCCGCCTCCCTGCGGGCCGGTAGTCAGTGATTTCACCAGGGACCGCTGCTGGGCCCGGGCTAATTCCCAGTGTTCATCACCGACCTGGATGAAAGGATCCTCCCTGAACGGGAAGATATGAAAGATATCCCTGCTGAAGATATGAAATGTGGGGCTGATCCACCCTAAGGATGTGCTGCCATTCAGCAGGGCCTCCATCATGGAGAACTGGCCAAAGAGAAACCTAATGATTAATTAGAATAATCTAATGAGGCTAGCAAGGATCGTGCACCTGTGGAGGAATAGCCCCAAGTAGCAATGGGATCCTGGGATGCATCAGGCAGAGCGTGGCCAGCAGGTCAGGGAGGGGATCCTGCCCCTTGGCCTTAGAGAGGCACATCCAGAGCGATCTGCCCAGTTCTGGGCTCCTCACAACAGGACAGACAAGGAGCTGCTGCAGATGGTCCAGTGCAGGCCACAACGATGTTGAGGGATCTGGAGCATCTCTGTGAGGAGAGACTCTGGGAGCTGGGCCGGGTTAGCCTGGAGAGAAGACTGAGACGGGACCTTACTAATGCATTAAAATATTTCCAAGAGGTCAGAGGATGATGCCAGCCTCTTTTGGTGATGCCCAGAAACAGGACGAGGAGCAAGAGTCAGAAACTAAACCACAAGAAGTTGCACCTCAACATGAGGAAGAACTTTCCATGGAGGGGGGCAGAGCATGGGAAGAGCTCCACAGAGTCATGGGAGTCTCTCTTTCTGCAGACACCCTAAGCCCTCCTGGACGTGTTCCAGCATCACCTGCTCTGGGTGACCCTGCCTGGACACGGGGGATTGGACTGGATGATCTCCAAAGGTTCCTTCCAACCCTGACTATCCTGGGGTTCTGTGTCTCTCTCGCAGGTGCAGCCATGGTGTCCAAAAAGCAGCTGGCAGACTTTGGCTACAAGGCGTTCTCGGGCTCCATGATGCTGCTGACGGTGTACGCCGGGTACCTGTGCAGTGTCCGTGTCCAGAGGATGCTCCAGCACCGCCGTGAGCGGGAGAACGCGCCTGGCCCCGAGAGCTGAGCCTGCACTGGGAGCTGGGACCGGCCCCGGGAGCTGGGACCGGCCCTGGGAGCTGGGACTGAGCCCAGGAGCTGGGACCGGCCCCGGGAGCTGGAACTGAGCCCAGGAACTGGGACTGGCCCCGGGAGCTGGGACTGAGCCCAGGAGCTGGGACCGAGCCCACACTGGACCAGCCCCACCTTCCCGGTCCCCCCTGGGCTGGGGGAGGCAGATGAAGTGCAATAAAGCCCGTGTGAAAGTGGTCTGTGTGGTGGTGTGTGGTGTCCCCCAAATCACAGACTGGGCTGGGAGGGGACCTTAAAGGTCACTTGGTTCCACCCCCATGGGCAGGGATGCCTTCCACAAGTCCATCATTTTTATGGTGTTCTTCCAAAAAGCTGTTTTTTCTGTGCTCCTGGCAGCAGCCAAGGGACACACGCTGTCCTCTGTTCTATTTTTCCTCAAGATGAAACACATCACCCTGAGTTTCTGAAGCAACTTTTAATTGGAGATAAGAGTAAACAACAGTATAAAATGGTAACAACTCGAGAAGTTTCCAAAATTCTGCTCCTGATTGACCGTTCCATTGCCCCCAAGTACCATTGAGTAAAAAAAAGAGAAGCAAAGCCCACAGTGTGGCTGCTCTTCCAGCCCTGGGTTCCTCCACAGCTCTAACATCAGAGCAGCAACAATCACTTGTCTCAGAGTACAGGACCAAAACATCTCATTTTCTGGAGAGTTAAACCCAGCCCACCAGTTCTGATCCTCCCTCTCATCCCAGCTTAGCCAACTGAATCCAGTAGGTCTAGAGAAGTCTTCAAAACCACAATTTGCAACAGGAAGAAAACAATTTAAAAGGCCTGGATTATGCTGGTTGTCTCAGGGGCAATAAACCACTCCCCCAACCCCCTTGCAGAAGGCTTTGGTCAAGACTTCAGAGGGGTTTGCAGCACCAAAAGAGGCAGCAGACGCTGGCCTGGTCCCTGGTGACAGCAGAGATGAGCTGCTGGACCTCCCCAGCACCCTGGGGCGAGGCAGAGCAGTGGTTCTGGGTTAGCACAGTTCAAAGCTCGTCTGGGAGCAGAGTCTCTGCCTCACCCAGGGCAGCTGGGACACGGAACCTGCGTTCTCTGTGCTCTGAAGTGGCTTCTGGAGTGCATCAAGAGCTGCTGCACCTGCCGGGAGCGAACCGTCACCGAGTGGCACCGAACCCCGTGGTCCAAACCTGCTCTGCCTCGAGTTGATCCCAGTAAAAGCCAGTTTGTCACAAAGAAAGACACCTCTGCAAATATCATCGGGACTCAGGGGCGTTCTCTTGTACTTCTGAAGTACAAAATGGCTTGAAGTGAAATCTGCAGCTTTTTTTTTTGCCCCGGTCGTTGGCTTCATCCCTTGTGCCGTGCAAAGCCTCTGACTGGTCAGGGTTGTGCCCGTTTCGGGTCTGCTGGAGGTTTCTGGGGAAGGGTTTTTTGATTAAAGATCACTTGGGAATGTGGAACTCAACACAACTAGATATTGAAAGAGAAGTTCGTGTTTGCTCAAGGCCAGCCCAGGGCCTTACTCCTCTCCTGTCCACTGGCCGCCGGCCACGTGGCCGTTCAGGCGGTTGGAACCGTTACTGGAAGTGCTGAGAATTCCTTTTGTGCTGTTGGAAGTCACATCCTCCTCCTCGGAGCTGCTCTCCACGTCACTGCGGTCATCCTTGGATACCTAAACATCGCCAGTGGAATTGGGCAGTGGGAGAGGAGAAAGGGGAGTTGAGAAATTGACAGAAAGCAGCAGTTAGAAGGTTGTGTCCGTGTGATGAATCACCTGCACTCTCATCTGCCTCCTACATTTGAGTCTGGCTCAGTTCAAGCTCCCAAGAAGGAGCCTGTCATCACACTGGGAACAAGACACAGACACTGAAAGAGACAGTTTGGAAAGATGAGCTCCATTTTGCAAATATTCTGTGTATCTGTGAAAGCACTTCACTCTTGTTCTCACCAGAGTGTGTCAGTTTGAGAGAGAACATTTTGTCCTACAGGGAGCAGCTCTGCTATTTTAAAAATTAACCAGCTTTATTTATCACATCACTGCTCGAACAAAGCACCTCCATTTCCACAGCCTGTGCTTCATCTGGGAGATCCCATTTAGGAGCAGGACATGGGCAGGGGATGGAGAACAAAGGCAGTGTCTGATCCAGCAAACACCCGCTCAGAACAGGAGGAGCCTCAGCCCAGGGATCCAGATCTGCTCTTGCAGATCAGAGTTCAGAGACTGGCTGCAAATCCAGCTCCATTTGACTTGCATGTGGGGTTTTGAACCTTCCCAGGAGGAGCGTGGTGCCAGCTGCTCCCAGGGCAGCCCTGCAGAGCCACAAGGGGAAGGGAAGAGCCCATAAACCCGGCCCCAACTGCAAACACACACCTTGGGTGGTGGCAGCTGCCAGAGCCAAACCTCCCCAGCCTGAGCTGGGCCTGGAGAGCAGCCCCTGCTCTGCCCAACTCTCACTGTCCTCACTCCCCTCCCTCTGCAGCCAACAGCCCTCGGTAACTCCATGTGCCAGAGCTCTGCCTTGCAGCTTTCCAAGGATTCCAGGATTTCATTCTACTCTGCTCTCTTGGAGACAGGGTTAGGGTTCTCCAGCAGCAGGAAGTGGTTGAACTCCAGGGAAGATCTGGCTGGAAGCCAGGTGAAGTTAATGATCTCCAGGAACTTTTTGGATGTCCTGGCTTCTGCCTGTTGCCAGAACTTCTGCTATCTTTCCCCAATCTCCTGCTGTACTGGAAGTTCAAAGGGTCACTGGAAGGAAGCAGAAATCCCTTGACATTTTTTCCATGCTTGGGGGAGAAATGACTGTTTCACCCCTTTTCACAAAAAGGAGTAAATTCCTCCTGCCCTCTCCCCCTCTGTGCAAGGCTGATGAGGAACAAAGACAGAAATTGGAATGTGTGGGTGTGTAAAAGCAGAAAGTGAAGGATGTGCAGGCAGGTGACATCAGGTAAGAACAGACCCCAGGACACTGCTCTGACCTTTGGAAAAAACAGTATTTTAGCACCTGTCAGGACCAGGGAGAGAAGGAGAAGGCACCAAAGCCCCAAGACCAGGGCTCTGCTTGTCTTGGCCTTGACACAGACGTGTTTCAGTGAACAAACAGAACCACAGGTCACACTTACATGCACAGGGTGAAACTGTCCAGCTCCAATCTGGCACAGAGAAAAGGAGAAAAGAATGAAGAAGACAGAGCTTAGAGTCCTTTCTCTGGCTAGGTCACCTGGACAGGAGAGAACCAAGGAAAGGGAAAAGGTGTAGAACTCAGGATACAGAAACAGCTGCAGAGAATGAAAATCAGGCATTTGTAGTAGCAGCTGTGGGGAACAGATGAAGAGCTCGTACCCTGAAACCTGCTTGCCCCCAGAGTCAACCAGAATATTTATCATTTTCATGTTTCATGTGTAGGGGCAGCTAAAGTCAAACACAAAATAATGCAGAGCCATCAGAGAAACTCAGATCAGAACATCAATATGTAATAGGAAAAAGCATTTTTGCTATTAAATCAGCTGTTTTGCTGTTTTCATAGAATCATGGAATGGTTTGGGTTGGAAGGACCTTAAAGCTCCACCCCCTGCCATGGGCAGGGACACCTTCCACCATCCCAGGTTGCTCCAAGCCTTGTCCTTGAACTGGATCATCTTTAAGGTCCCTTCCAACCCAGGCCATTCTGTGATTTTTGACAGCAAACAAACCCCACTGCATCCCTTTCCCTGAGTGCTGGAGCTCAGTGCCTGCACTGGCAGACAGAAGCCAGTGAAGATGCACAATTCCCAAGGACCAGCTCAAGTTGGGAAACATCCTGTTGGGAAATGTCCAATTTCTGTTCATCCTGTTGTCCAAAAAAGAGCCTGCTACCACCTTAAACTCCAGAGTGCACAACAAGAGTGTCACAATCACCATTTTAGGATATTTGAATGTACTGGAAAATGGAGTTATTTCCCTGCATGCCCAGGAGAGACTCCCTGCCTTTGAACACACCCAGGAACTCACAAGTGCTGAGCAACCAAGGTAAAAAAATGCCATTTTTGTGAACTCCTGACACAAGTCCCTTAAGAACCATCACCAGCCCTCACTGAAAAGCCCAATTTCTCAGGATTCCTTAATGGGGCTTGTAGGAAAGAGGACCCAGAAGCCTCCCTCAGCCTTACCTTGCCCCGCACCAGGGCCTTGGAGGCCGTGCGGATGATGAGGTAAGACCAGATGACGTGCAAGACCTGCAAGGTCACCAGGAGCCCGTTGAACAGCCACCAGGAAGGGTAGGGACCGATCAACTCCCAGCTTTCAAACAGGGTTGTGTTCAAAATCCTTAAAGAGATGCAGAAACGCATTTCAGATCAGCTCTGACTGGAGGTGCCAGGCCAGATGCACAACAGTTTGTGTCTCACTGAGCATCTGCTGCTCTGCTCCTGCCAGAGTCAGGAGACTGAGTAAAGCTCATTAGGAGCATTTGAACTGAGCAACAAAACACAACATGTGAATATGCTGCAATTTGGTTACACACACGGATCTGTTGCCAATTTTCTTCTCCAAAGCACAAGCATTTATTTATAACAACTTCACAGGAAGTGATGTCAGGCTGTTCTGGTCACCAAAACAACCATTAACACCTTCCTGCTTGGGCAGCTTCTACCCAGATTTAAAGATCAAAAGTCCTATTAAAAATAGTGTGGGCATGGGAGCAGGGCAGGGATTGTCCCCCTGTGCTGGGCACTGTGAGGTTGTGTGCAGCTCTGGACCCTCTGAGCCAGGGAGATATTGAGGGGCTGGAGTATGTCCAGAGCTGGGAACAGCTGGGGAAAAGGAGACTCAGGGGAAATTTCTGGCTCTGCACAACTCCTTGACAGGAGGGGGCAGCTGAGGGGGCGTCAGGCAACAACAGGACAAGAGGGAATGTGGCAGGAAAGGTTCAGGTTGGACACCAGGAGGAATTTTTTTATAGAAAGGGTCGTCAGGCATTGGAAGGTGCTGCCCAGGGAGGTTTGGAGTCCCCATCTCTGGAGGTGCCCAAGGACATGGCACTCGTTGCTCTGGTGGGGATCTGTCACAGGCTGGACTCGGTGGTCTTGGAGGCCTTTTCCAATCTCAAGGATTCTGGGATCAGGAAGGAATTCTGTCCCCAGAAGGCCTCCCTCCCTCCCTGGGTGCTCTTCTCTTCCCTCAGAGTTTTACAGATTCCTCCAGCCAGGCTGGAAGACTCAAAACTGCTTTATGGCCCAAGCTTAGTGTTTCTTTCATTACTGTTTTGCTGTTCTTGTTGCTGGGAGTTATTGCCAGTCCTTCAGCAATTTAATAAACACTTTAGATTTTATGATGCAGAGAGGTATGGAAAGACCTTTAACGACCACATTAATTTCACCCAGCTTTTAACATTTCACAAGAAAAGCAAAACAAGCCTTTCAAACAAGAACCAAAGTCCCCCAAAAGGCAGCCCCAGAAGCATTTAACTCATAGCAGGTTTATGAAAGAATTAAATGCAATTCCAGAGATCTGCTGATGTTTTACATTACTAATTAGGGAAGGGAATACACGTGCAGTGATACAGCACAGGGTCTGCAGTGCTGCTGCAGCTCGCCAGATTCCTCTACAAAGCTGAGGAGTGACATTACAGCCAGTGGAAAACACATTAAAGATTTACAGGATGCTGAGCACTGGTGTGAGGTAAGAGCATCCCCCCATGACAGACAGCAGCTGCAAAAACAATTCTTGTCTGTCCCTGGAAGGAACCCACCAAGAAACAGGAATTAAAGCTCTTCTTCATCCAGAATCCCTTGGTGCATTTACTGGAAAATAAGCAAGAGCTTTAACTGCAATCCCAATACTAAAGTGAAAGGATTGTTGCTGCCTGCCAGGCACCCAAAAGAATGCCAGGTGTCCATGGCCTAGGAAATAAATGCATGCAGTAAAATGGTGTAACCAAATTGTCACCACACACAATAAACAGGCAACAGCTCATTAACCAAAGCACTGCTCCAGGTCTGACCTACTGAGGTGAGAGGGAATCTCATTATGGGATGATTCTCTCTAAGCCATTTATCCAAGGTTTTACCTCCCAGGAAACCTCAGACCTATTTCAGGCTCTGAATAGTCATGACACAAGGACAGGACAGAAGTGTCATAAGAATCAAAAACTGCAGTGATGACTAAGCCAGATACAAACAAAAATTACCTTAAGAGATTGAGCCTCACTTGTAATTATTTCTAGAACTTCTTCAGAGAAGCAGAGAATCCTTCAAGCCTCTCAGAGCAGATTCTGGCTGACTCTGTCATCACTGCAGCAGGGGAGGGGCAGCTGTGAATGGGATTCTGGACTCTTCTCCCAGTCCCTCAGCTGACTGGGGAGAGATTTCTTCATGTGCCTACTCAAACCTCCTGCCCCAAACAGCACTTGGGCCGTGTGCCACTTCAGGCTGCCTCGAGGGACAGCTGGAATGCTTGGGAAAAGTCTAAAACAAAGGCTCTGCTGAAAGGATTGGGAGAACAACCAAGACCTCCCAGCTCCAGGTGCTTACCAGAAAGGGTAAATGCCCAGCCGGGTCACGATGAACACAACCCCAAAGAGCATGAAGAAAGCGTCACACAGACGTTGGTACTTGGCATAATTGGCCAGTTTTGCAGCCTACAAGAGACAATTAACATGCAAATAATTATTCCCTTTGTGCACTCCTGTAATTACCCGTCTGGAGAGCTGCACAAAACTCTCAGTCTCATTTGTACAGTTTGGAACAAAGAGGGATTATTATAATACTGTATTACTATTTTTATACTGTTATTTATATGGTCCCACAAGAACAAGGGCTTGGAGTGACAGGACAAGGGGAATGGCTTCAAACTGCCAGAGGATACAATCACCCTCTCTGAGAGGGTGATGAGGCCCTGGCACAGGTTACCCAGAGAAGCTGTGGCTGCCACATCCCTGGAAGTGTCCAAGGCCAAGTTGGATGGGACTTGGTGCAACCTGGAATAGTGGAGCTGGATGATCTTTAAGGTTCCTTCCAACCCAAACCATTCCATAGTTTTGTGCCTCTCAGCACTCAAGCAGTTTGGAGAAAAAGCTGACAGGGCAGGATCAGCAGCACGAATTTCATGGCATATTTAAAGCACTTTTTCAACAACAAAAATGTCAGTTTGTTCCCCTGAGATCACACCAGCATTAAGGATGTGATGATTTGAAAGGAAATTCACCTCCAAGAGGAAATCTGAAGCATCGTGGAGGCACAGCACCAGAGTTCCAACCCGCACCATGTTATTCATGTACGAGAATGTGATGAGTCCAATCGTGGCCAAGTGATGGACGAACATGATCAGGAAGTCCTGCAAACAGAGAAAACCAGATATGAAAACTCTTTGGCTGTCACAGAAATGCAAAAGTTTGGAACAGAGCCACGCAACTGAATCACTGAGGTCACAGGATTCCTTCGGTTCCTTCTGACTCCACACCAATTGCAGCTCATCACACTCCCACCATCTCCACAAAAGCTTCCAGAAAGGTCTCTCAGCTTTGGTGCTGCTGAAGTCAGAGCTGTGCCTGCTCAGGGATCAGCACAATCTCTGGCACACACACAACTGTACCTGCAGACCCCACAGATATGACTCAGAGGACAAGATGACCCTTATTTTTGGCTCCTTCTGGTTTTTCAGACACACTGCTCGCCCCCTCGGCTCCTGGCACACATTTAAAGTGCTGTTCCTGCTGTCAGTGACCAAACCCTGCCAGGGCAGAGCAGGCACAGAACACCAGGGAACTCAGCAGGAAGAACAAAAAATGTTTACAATGCACAATATTCAGGGCTGGTTTTCACTTCAGGCTTCCTGCACCTCACCCTGCTGCAGTGGGGAATGTCAGCCACTCATTAAAGTCAAAATTAACCATAACAGAGTCCCAGAGGTTGTCCATCACTTCCTGTGATTCCTGCAGCTCCACTGTGTTCCATAGTGCCCCACCTGCTAATATTTCAGCACAGAAAAAAAGCCTGGGTAAACTTGTATTTTTAACAGCCAATGCAAAAATTGGGATAATTTGCTGCTTTGCAGCTCATGCAAAGGAAGCAATAAGCCAGGATTTACTGGGGACTGTTCTCCAACAGCAACAATAACCAAATCCTGGAACACAGCATGACAGAATTAGATTTGAGCAACTGCAACCACTCATCATCTGCTCCTCACACAGATGAGAAATTCCTTTCAAAACCCCATTTATTATTGCCTCAGCATTTGCTATTTCCTCAGCAGCTTCAGCAAGGTACTGCTTTGAGCAGCTCATTTTCCTGCAAGCCTTCCAGTTAAATCTATTTTTAACTAGGCAATGATTTGTTAACTCTTGATTGGGAGGTATTGAGTGATGCTGTTCTGTCCCCTGGAAGGTGAAAGGAACTCAAGGATACACCAGGCCTCGCTCCTCCCTTTTTCTCAGTGCTTACAGGAGAAGGGAGGCTCACAAATGTGTAAATGAGGAAGAAAACATTAAATCTCACATTTTGGCTTTCCTGGCTAGGCACACTCCCATTTTTTGTTAGTCCTACCTATTTAGTATTATTTTTATTACAGCTATTGAGAGGTTAATGCAATTCTGGTTCATCTCACCTTCCGTTTAATGTCTGTAAACTGAGAAAACATGAGGGACCAGTAGAAGGCCAGCTCCAAGATATAGTAATAATAAAGCCTGGATGTTAAAGGCTGGAAGACAAGAGATAGCACAGTCACAAGACAAAATAATTCAAAATTTACACTGAAATCACTTTTTTCCTTCCTCCTTTCCCATCCCACTTTGTTCCTCCAGAACTGCTGAGGCATAAGTTAAATCATTCAGGTTTAATAAAAACAAGCTTAAGCAACAGGCACCTTACTCCAGGCTTACTCACACAAATATAATTGTGTGTTTGAGCTTTCTTCCAAAGGAATAAATTCCCCTGTCAATATTTACAACTCCTGCTGAAGCCTCTTGGAGTAGGAAAGTCTGGAACAGACTGTTGGCCTCTATACAGTAAATAAATAAATTACCACTATGATTTTATGCCTTTTTCTCCCACTTTTAATAATCTCAGCAGCAAGTAAATATAAAGTGACTGAGTCAGAGGTATCTGAGGAAACCCTGCTGTTGCCAAACCTAATCAGGATGTAAATGCACATGTGCCCTTATCAATAACAAAAATAAAAACTGGAAATGTCCAAAGAGTTGGAATTTAGGTGTTTCTCTCATACCTGGAAAGGGTAGTTGTACCAGCACTGTCGTGTGTCCCAAAACCAGGGTGCCTAAAGGGGACAGGCAGGTTTATATTATATATAAATATATAAATAAGAAGTTATATAAAACCCCAGTTTGTACTGGGTGTTTTCCTCCCCAGCACCTAAAGTCACCTGACACTACAGCACTGCTTCACTGAAATTTCACCTTCATTCTGCCATTCAAACTACATTTACTGTAAAAAACACTAGTGATTTAAAGTCTAACTTGTGCTGTCAATGTGAGTTCTGCTCCAATGGTAATTTCTAGAATAATTATATAGCTCTAATAATAATAAAGACCCAAGGAGATGAACTTGTATCCCTTCAAGAGGGAGAGGAGTAAAAAAGGAGCAGCTCTCCATAGCAAAAGAAACCCAAAACCCACCTTGTTTTCTCCAACATTCTGGGGAACACCTCAAATAATTTTCTATTATTTCCAAAATGACAGATTTGTATAGAAGCTTCCCTATAGTGTAAAGAAAATCTTTAACAGCACCCCCAGGATCCCAAATCAGGGATCATTCAACTGCAACCACACAGAACAACAACGTGGGTGACAGAGCAACTCACCGTCCAGAGAAACCTGATTCCATAAAAAAATATACTTAAATAAAATGTAAATCTCCACCTGGAAAAAGAAGCAAAAAATAAACTCAGGACACAGAATCAGCTTCTGGTTAGCATTTGTAAAAACAATTAAAATAATTAGGAAAACCCCCAAATCTGACACCTGAAAAGCCTTCACCCACTTTGATTTTTAAACATTGCAGGTAACATAAACCTATTGAAGAGTTTTCCCACCAAACATAAGTTTGCATCAACAGCCAAGTTTGAAATTCAGGGTGAACATGCATCATTCATATGCTTTAAGAGACAATAAGATAACAACAAGCAAAGTTGTTGTCACCCAGAGGTATCCTCATGTAGGTATTTTTCCCTCTTACCTTGTAGCTTTAGGTAGACAAAACCAAACTGGGGGAAGAATTGAAAGTTACTGGAAAGGAAAGAAACCAGCAGAGGAGAAACAAGTCAGGAAAAAATACTGAGGTTCTACTGCACTACAGAGAAAACTGCAGGAGCTGGGGGGGACGGAGCAGAGAAAGGACTGAGGAGAGAAGGAAAGGAAGCCAAGGAGTGTCGGTAACTGGTTCCTGCGGGAATGGGAACACGGCCGTGCAGGAGCGTCCCGGGGGATTTACACCCGGCGTGGGCATGTGCACGGACACACGGACAGGGACACACGGACACATGGACAGGGACACACGGACAGGCACACATGGACAGGGACATGGACAGGGACACACGGACACATGGACAGGGACACATGGACACATGGACAGGGACACACGGACATGGACACACAGACACATGTGCACAGACACACGGACACGTGGACACATGGACATGGACACATGGACACCCGGGCATGGACACATGGACACACGGGCATGGACACATAGACACACAGACAGACATGGACACACAGACACAGACACAAGGACATGGACACACGGACATGGACACACGGACATGGACACACAGACAGACATGGACACACAGACACGGACACATGGACATGGACACACAGACATGGACATGGACACACGGACATAGACACACAGACAGACATGGACACATAGACACAGACACATGGACATGGACACACAGACATGGACATGGACACATGGACAGACATGGACAGACAGACATGGACATGGACACGCAGACACACAGACCTGGACACATGGACAAACAGCCAGATATGAACACAGACACACAGACATGGACATGGACACACAGACATGGACACACAGCCAGATATGAACACAGACATGGACACACAGACATGGATGGACACACAGACAGGGACAGACACACTCTCAAGTGCCATGAAGGACCCAGCCCAGTGTGTAACGGTGCTCAGCACTGACTCCTGTACCCCGTTCTGGTCTCTCAGGCATGCCCACAAAATATTGTAGAATTTTAGAACCTCCTTTAACTGCCCTCGTTTGCTCGTACAGGAATTTTGGCCCTGGGCTGGCAGAGCAGCTGCCCCCAGGCCCAGCTGGAGGAGAACACAGCTAGAGCTCGAAGATGAAGCCCCTCTGCACAAACATACATGCTCTCACAAAATTTAGTGAGGGTGGTGGGTTTGTCCTGGTTCCTCCGATGCCGAAACCAGCGCTGGATCTTTCGGACATCCCAGTCCAGCTGCTTGGACAAGCCTTCTAACCTTTTTCCATCTGGAGACTGAAGGAAAATGAAACAAATGTCATTTCTCCCACTACTCAAGCTACTTTCAGTCCTGTATTATGACAGAAATAATGCACAGATAACAAAAAACACACCAGGAAGGGACCACTGAGTCTGGAAGCGAGAACACACTGCCACAAATGGTCACTTGGTTTAACCTTCATAAGCCACTAATTATTTAATTACTCAGAATGGCTTTTGTTGAGCATTTCCTCACCTATTTCATCAGTTGACAGCACATTAAGACAAAGAATGTGACTGTTCTGTCTGTTAATTTTGGGGGAGGAGCTGTTAAAGTGTCCTGTCCTACCTGTTAAAGCTGCACATCAATTCAAACAGCCCAGAACTCAGGAGGAGCAAAGCTAAAGATGTTTAAGGTTTGTTACAGCAAGGACAGAGAAACTTTAAAGAGCTGTTTTAACACAGTAGATATTTGTATATTCCATAAGGGCAATGTAGAAATTGTGTCATTTCTGTTATCAAAGTGTATAAATGAAAATATATTTGAAGACTGAAATACTTCCATGACAAATACAGATATAATATATCCCTGTTCTCCACCTGGGAATTCTGCTGTGTCTGAATGAACACAAATGGATTTATCAAAGCGAACCAAACCTGGTAACTCCCTCTACAATGGCCCAGGAGTGAGATAATTCAGACCAGCTCTGCCAGGGAGCTCTACCACTGAAAGATGATAAACACATTTTACTATTTGATTTCCATACAAACCACAAAAGCTATGCAGAATTCTGATTTAATACAAAATCATCAGTCTGCCCTGCTGAAAATCAAAATCAGATTAATTTGATTTTCAGCATTGAGACCATGACTGTCCTGTCACTCCACCACACCACACCCCTCAGCACCTTCCTGGGATTTAATGGTTGGGGCACTGGGAAAGCACCTGCCTCCAAGGGGAATTCAGATCTCCCAGCTCAGAGCAGCAGTGAAATCCTTCCCCTGCACCAGGGCCGCCCCCAGCCTGACTCTCCAAACCCAACAACAGCCACAGCACACTGGGACAGTTAAAGGTTTCACAAACCAGACAAATTCTGCACAGTCTGTGACCTCCTGGGTTTTCTAAACCTTAATTTCAAGGACATTTCCTGCATTGAAGTTCTCCCAACAAAGGGCATCAGATTCTGGGGATTTTTCAGTTCACACATAATTCCAAATGCCTCAAAACTTTAATGTTCCCACAAGGCAGGTTTTTTGAGGTTTTTATAGAATTTCCTTTTATCTGCTCCTGTAGACGAGGTTCAGCATCACCAAATCTCAACAGAAAACCCTCTTAGTCATTATCTTTAATGAAAATCTATTCAATATTGGATAAAATACAGTGGAATCCTGTCATTCTGAAGTGGTGTAGGCCTAAGAGAAAGAAGGAAACAACCCAAAGAAACACTTTCTGCCACCATTAAACGTCCTGCCCTTCATCAGGACATCCTTCACTGACTGAACACCTCTCTGAATAATCCACTTCCACTGACAGCTGCTGTCCAGGTCACAGCAAAAGCAAAAACGAGAGGAAGACATTCACAATAAAACCATTAAAACCAGAAAAGGAACTGAGCTCAAGAAAAAGAGGAACACTTTCCTAATAAAAGTGGAAGATGCTGAGAAATGTCTTGTTAAACCAAGAATCCCCACCGTACAACTTAAACCAAAGGCAGGGATCTAAAGGAAGCAGCTCAGGCCTGTCTATCAGGGCAACATTTGTATTCCAAAGATTCTTCTGTGCACAAAACCATAGCTCAGCCATACAGGGAATTTACTTTGCTACCAGGACATGCCAGAGGCAAAGTTAAACCAGAACAAGCCCACTTGTGGATGCAGAGTGTGAATTGTGCATCTCAGTCCAGAAAAGTGGAAGCAAAAAGCCCCCCCTGCGACACTTCCAGGCCTGCATTCCCTTTGGAAGGGAGGAGGGATTTGAAGCGTGACTCACCTTAGTGATGGATGTAAACACTTTCTCTAAAATTGCATTGGGCTGGGCTCTGTGAGGTCCACTGTCCTGAATGCCAAGGTTTATGGCACATGGCTTGGCAATAAACCTGCAAGAATTCCCCAGAAAGAACTGGATTAAAACAAGATTTTTATATTTCCCTCCTCTGTCTGAATCACAAGGACCTGGATTCGTCACCAACTGCAAAACCTGATGAAAAAGCTTTTGAAATCTCTATTCCAACGCTTCCCAGGTGAAGAGATTTCTTTTATTGGTCCATATGGTAACTGCAGATAGCACATACTGTGCACACCAGAATGAAAAATTAAATCTTAATGCACTTGGCTTGTAAGGATCTGAATGTGCTCCCCAAGGGGGATTCTCATTCCTCAGTAATAAAACAATAGACTGATAGCAGTCTGCTGTGAACAGAAATGCTGGAGATGAAGCCCTAAAACAAAGTATCTTGTTTCCAAAATAGGCATTGGTGCCACATAGCTCAGAAAAAAGGGAAGTTCAAGTGACACAGCTCCCAAAAGTAATTTTTTTCTTTCTTATTTTTTTGTCTTTGGGAAAAATAAAGTGGCTTGTTTCCTTCAGGACAGAGAGGAAGATGCAAGCCCACAGTCTGAAAGATCCCTGATCTCGGGATCTCATCCATCCCACGTGTATTCCAAACTGATTTAACTCCTCCTGGATTTTATAGCACAAACTCTGGAAACAAGCCTGGGTTTGCAACTGAAACGAATATAAACGTGTTCCAAATTACCAGGTTTTGCTGCACGTTTGAGTCAGAATGGACTCAGGGAATGTTCCAAGGGAAATGTCTGCATTACCTGATATGTGAATTATTCCTCTCCTGTTGGTGGAGAAAAGCGGGGATTAAAGGAGCAATATTTAGTATTTTTAATCAATTCTTTTGAGTAAGAACCTGTTTCTCAAACTGATTTTGAAAAGGACACAACATTTATACCATTAAAACCATTTTGCTTTCACAGAGATTGTTTGAGAGAGAGTTAAACTGAAATTACACATATTTAGGAGCCTCCCACTGCCACCAAGCAGAAAATGCTGCTTTTTCCAACCACAATTGTTACAATTTCTCCTTATGTTTAAAAGGAAAGATTAAACTTCAGGAGAATCACGGTTCTAAGTACTCCAACAGTAATTATTCTCAGGAATACTCAGTGCTTCAGGAACAAATATCTGTGGATGTGTTCAAGAACAGTCCCAGGCTCTGGGGTTTTCCCTTGAGGAATTACAGATCAGCTTGTGACTGGTCCCAAAGGAACACCCAGCTCTCAGAAAACACTAAATAAATGATAGACACTGCAGGCCCAGGCTTCCCTGTCTGCCCCAGTTCTTCCTGTGTCTCTGCCCAGGATCCTCAAGGCTGGAAAATCCCTCCAGACCATCCAGTCCAAGCTGGGCCTGACCCCCACCTGGTCCCCAGCACAGAGCACCGAGTGCCACATCCAGACCTCCCTGGACACCTCCAGGAATGGGGATTCCATCCTGGGCAGCCCTTTCCAAGGCCTGACCACCCTTTCCATGGAGAATTTCTTCCTGATGACCCTTCTTCTGTCAGGAAGTTATGGATAGGCAGAAGGTCCCTCCTGAGCCTCCTTTTCTCCAGGCTGAGCTCCTTTCTCAGCTCCCTCAGCTCTCCTTGTGCTCCAGACCATTCCCAGCTTTGCTGCTGTCTCTGGACATGCTAAACTACATTTCAACACCCACAGCTTTAAAAAAAAATAAATTAAAAAATAAAAAAGGAAGGAGTGATTTCCTTTGAGCTTGGCTCCAAAGGCTCACGGCTTCCGCCATAATCCAGACCACCAGCCAGAAATCGTGTCCTGATGTTATGAAACATTTGGCAAGACCCCCACAAAAATGTAAAAAATATAAAGTATTCAATGTGTTTATACTCTGCTTTCCTACAGGACATACCACAAGTGCAGCACAGAAGTTTACATGTGAACTTGCAGGTGGAATATGAAGTGAGTCGTCAATTCCACGCTCAGCCAGGAAAATCCCAAGCTGACCTGTTATTTAGGTAAACTCAGCAAGATAAACTCATGCTCCAAACTTCTGTGGCACTTCAAATTTTTGGTCCCAGAGCAGGTTTCCAGATGTGTTTTGCACCGAATCCCATAGTGACAAAGTTCTGCACAAACCCCAAAATAGAAAAAAGTACTGCTGGGACAGTAGAAGTTCCACTCTTGAGGATATCAAACTGAACAGCAGAAGATCATGGGTGCCTGAACACTGGCCTTGCTTTGAGGAGAGGATTGCATGAGGTGACCTTGAAAGGTGCCTTTTAATCTAAATGATTTTATGATTTTATAGAAATCTCAACAGCAACAAATTATACCCAAGGTCAACTTACTGCCACACCTTCCAGCAAGAAAGCCTCATCACATAAACACTTCTATTAAATCTTTATCAACAGGGATCAGCTCACACCTGAGCTACCTGGCCACCTCTTCAACACTAGGTGTTAACGCACACTGATTTCAAAACCAACACCGTTTTTCAACTCCACGGACTCATATGTTGTAACAAATAGTTCTCAGGCATATTGTGATTCACAAAAAGGCAGAATCTTTCTTTATGAACAGTCCAGTTTGGCTGGTGACTCCCCACTACAGCTCTTAAAGGAAGAACAATCTCCAAAGTGAGGTTTATTGAATGTGCACTCTTTGAGTTTGTATTTCCATCATCTCCCAGTTTCACTGTGTTAAGATTTAACCACCTGTCATGGGACAAGATGTGCAAGGAGAAATACTGGAAGAGATAATCAAGGATAAAAAATATAAACCCAAATTTATGGGCAACAGTATTTATTTTTGCTGACTGGACAAAAATCCTCACTCTCCCACTATCTTTACCTTCCTCTGCAAGCCTGCCTCACCCCTACAGTCATAAACTAATGATTATTTTGTCAGTGTTGTGATGTAAAAGGTAGTTTTTAGGGAAATTCTAACTAACAAAAATGTGTCAGTGTTACAAGTGTTGTAGCACAAGGCATTTCTTCACACTGAGGAGCTACAAAAGGAGAGAGAAAAGCAGCAGCTCAACCAAAAGAGCTGCATGAATTTGTAATTCACATTCTGAGTCACCAGGTCCAACTGTGAAATGTGTGTCAAGAAAGACATTTGACACAATCAAAGCCTGAATTGGGGTAAATGCACCACAGGAGTTTATTGAGACAAAGTTGAACTTTTATGACATGTTCAAAGTGGCTGGAGGAAACAGAAAGGAGTTTATTCAAAGATATGTACTTTTAAAATAAACACACTAGAAACTGCCTGAGATATGCTGTCACAATCTCCTTTCACTTTGGGACGCCACCAAGACACAGCTGAGGTCAGGAACAACCCCCTTCAAGAACCAGACCTCAGCCTTTGAGGTTTGCTCTGCAGGCTCAGGAGTTGTCATTTGACTCCACCCAAAATTAACACCAAAAAAAGAAATTTCATAAACCAGGGAGATATTATCAGGACAAAGTAATTTCTGCCTGGAGCACTGTGCCATCAGGTGTAGTAGGATACACTGCATCTTCCCAAACAACTCCAAGTAAAGAGAATATTGTGCACCTCTTCCCCAGACTGACAGCTGGACTAGAGACCTTCCTACAATATCGTTTTCATGGGTATCAGTGTGTCTCACAATCTCCTTTCCTTATGTCCTGGACCTGCTTCATTTTCCTCCATACTTGTCATCTTTTTACTTTGTCCCAATCACTTCTTTTTAATTTCTGAAAGCTCAGGAAAATTCACACTTCTTAAAGAAAACCCACAGAAAAAAACCTGACTCAAATCCCACTCATTTTACTCCTGCAGCCCTTTTCATGCTTTAGAAATACTTATGGAATCATGGAATGATTTGGGTTGGAAAGGACCTTAAAGCTCATCCAGTCCCACCCCCTGCCAGAGGCAGAGACACTTTCCACCAATTCAGGTTGCTCCAAAAGTCCATCCAACCTTGCCAACTTCTGCCCTTTCAAGGCAGAAATTTAAGATTAAATCAATGTTTAATGAACTCCCTGAGCAGCAATACAGGGTGTCTTGGTCCGTTTCACCTAAGGGTTTCCTAAGTAAGCCGCTTTACTAATTAATATCTCTGCCACCCACACACTGCGTGTGGCTGTGGCAGATCCACAGCACAGATCTACCTCTGCCCCAGGGCTGACTTCACATGTTTATGGTGTTTATGGATGCCCAGGTAAATGAGGAATCCCGTATTACACCTGTTTGTGGGCACAGATGACGATCTGCACTCACATCCATCGTGCCTGAGACGAGGGAGAGCCACCACGTATTTAATAATACAACGGGCCATGTGAACGAGCCCTATTTCCTCATCCAGGAACTCAGATAAAGTACAATAAAGCACACACGGAAGCCAAGTGCGGAGCAGCAGCAGCAGCCGCCAGCTCGGTCCGTCACCCCAGCGAGGTTCTCCTGGGCAGGAGGAGGAATAAAAGTGAATTCCTATGTAAAACACGAGATTTTTCTTGTCACTCCCTCAGCAGCGCCGGACCGGAGGGACCTCTCGTTATCCAGACCCAGGGCAGTGGAGCCCCACGGGCTTCTTCATGTCGCGACAGATTCCCGGGATTACACAATGTCCCCTTTCCACGCACGAAGGGCCTGGCGGAGGCCCCGAAGGGCGGGGGGAGTCCCCGCCGGGCCGCCCCCCAGCCCAGCCCGGTGCTCATAGACCCCGGCACCTCCCGGTCCCGCCGCCCCGGGGGCGGCCCCGCGCTCACCTCTCGAAGAGCAGCCGCACGGCGAAGATGCCGAGCGCCAGCGGGAAGGCGGAGAGGACGTGAGAGGCCCGCGGGTACTGCAGCCCGCTGCCCGGCGGGCCCGC